TCTTTTATTTATTTTTTAAATTGTTATAGTCATATGTGTTAGTTTGAGAAAGTAGTATTTCTTTTAGGAAAGGAGATATTTGTGTATACATAATTTGTTTGACTTTTTTTTTAATTCAGTTGCTAGGTGATACAATGTCACTTACAACAGTGTTTATATATTCCTTCTGTCAAAATGTGAGGTTGATATGTATCTATCAAAATATAATACGAAAATGTTAAAACGTATATTTTATAATGCATATTTTTTTATTACAGATAAAAACATGCATGAATTTCTAGCACCGTTCATAAAATCTGAGATCCATTATTCAGTAAAATTTGTTAAACTAGTACCCTCCACTCCCAACTTTGTTGTACTTTGTGTAAAAACTTTTCGAGTTCAGGTCCCTACATTACTTGCTGGTGGGAATATTAGATGTTACTATAAATGCAAACTCTAAGAAAACTAACGTATCTTTTCTGTTCACACATCCTCGTAAATGATATTAAATAATAAAGAAAAATTACAAATTTTATTCTTTTTTTTATGCAATTTGTGCATTCGTTTTGCAGCGTTTTAAAGTACTTTGGTAAAAAAATATAACTCAGTGTACACAAATTGTATGTTATCTTACGTTTTTAATGACGTATTTAGACTATAAAATTCCCTATTTAGAATGAACAAACAATTCGACGCATTTATAAGCATTTTGATATAGAAATAACATCAAAATGGACTGATATCTTATGTAAGTACAATCAAGCCAGTCTTGGCTTAGTTTATTTTTTTATTTTTATTTTTTTCCTACGTTTTTATTCTCATTTCCGTTTCTCTTTTATTGGATATCTATTTTTTCTATTCCTGTGTATAGCACAGAGGAACGCCCGTGTACCTGTGCTTACCTTGCCCCGCCTTCTCTCTCTCTCTACATATATATATCTTTTCCCGCCTTCTCCATCTCTCTCTCTAACGAAAAAGTTTTTTTTTTTTTTTGTTATTTATACATTGGAATTCTAATCAGTGTTGGCTTGTGCGCATGCGTTTCCGATATCTCAGTTTATACGTACATCTACACATTTATTCAAATCTTTTTTTTTTCACCAAATATAAGCCTTTTTTATCCCCTGATGGGTTCAGGTTTGATTATCAAAATGTAAGAGATAAAATGAAAGAAATATAAGACAAATGCAGCTGGGGTTACCTAGATGAATCAAACTGGAACAGATCTAAGAACGATGATAAGCCGGTTTGGTTACTGGCTAAAAATCGCATGCGATTTTGGTACGCACGAAAGGGGTAAAGAAAGAGACATAGTATAATGGTCAGTAGGTCAGTTATAGTGAGGGCGTTTCCCACTGAGTGGTCTGCGTATATGGCTATGCAGTATTCTTTTGTCCCAAAAGTGTCGTCTAGAATAGTCATATCGTTATGAATTTTTCAACTTAAAAAATAAGCGTACCGGTTGTAAATAAACGTCGCGCCCTGAAATCTAATGTAAGTTTATTAAACTGGAACAAAATAATAATGCCGCGGAGAAAAATATTTAAAAATAATAAGCGTTTCATACTGAATAAGCACTGTACCACTATGCCGGAAAAATAAAATTATATATATATATATATATATATATATATATATATATATATATATATGAAGAAATATAGTTTTAAGGTGTGCTATATTTATGGGATAAAGTGCTCAACATCAGAGATAGAGCGTATATAAATATAAATATAAAAGTGAACATTGAAGTCAACACTCATATATAGATAGATAGATAGATAGATAGATAGATAGATAGATAATGTTTTTTATAGATATTTTTAAATGCGTGTATCTTATGGGTAATGCTTAATCTTTCCGCTGTTTAGTTAAGTGTAGACTAAAATCCTTTTTTGTGTGAATCCTTTTTCATAATCTATGTGATTTTATCTATCATACCTCACTATAGTCGCGAAGTAATTTTAATATAACTATTTATGTAAATAATAATAATGCAAATCAATAACACCTATTCAAATATGTAATTACCTGAATATTAACATAGTTTAAGGCGAACAATTTTGTTGTCAGTAAAGTGCTTAATGTGGAAATAGAGAGACAATTATCACTAAAAATGAATAAAAGTTCAATCGAATTATCTCTCAACCGATTTTAAATATATGTATGTATTTAGCAGTATGATTATATATATATATATATATATATATATATATTGGAGGAAAGTTGTATAACAAATTGGAAGTCCGTTGAAGTTCTGAGCAACAAAATGCATCACACGAAAACTTTTTCCACTTTGGCATACATCTCTGCTCCAAAGTTTTTCTTGATATATAAAAAAATATATATATATATATATATATATATATATATATATATATATATATAGTAACCCGGATATAAGAGAGTTGTCGGGACCGGAGAAGTCTCTTATATCCGGGTTTTCTATATCCGGGTTTGGTCTATTTTATATACATTAACACAGGCTCTAATTTGGGACCAGAGAAAATCTCTCTTATATCCGGGTTTCTCTTATATCCGGGTCTCTTATATCCGGGTTACACTATATATATATATATATATATATATATCGAATAACAAGAGAGAGAGAGAGAGAGAGAGAGTGAGTGAGTGACTGAGTGAGAGTGAGGAATAATTTGATAAAATTAAAAGAACATTTTTCTTGTAATTATGATAAAATACTTTTCTTTTACTACCCTACTATAGTTATCATATAGACATAAGAACTTTCCCTTATCGTCTCGGTAAAAAGAACCATAAACCGACCTCGTTTTCATGTATAATATTACCTTTTATGGTAAACTCTCGAAGTCTTGTATAGATCGGTATATGTGTGCGGGTTTTATATATAAAAAAAATCTTACTCTCCATACGTACATATGAAAGACCATTTAAAAACATTAGCCACACCCTAATAGTTTACATATATAAAAAAAAAATGGATCAATTGGCAACACTAAAAATATTTGAGCAAACCTTTCTACAAGCAAAATCTGAACCTCCCGCGGCGAAGTAATCTCACCTGTCTATTTTCTATTTATACTATTTTCAATATGTAAAAAGAAAAAGAAAAAAGAAGTACACATTTAGGAAGACGAAACCTCTTCCAGTCCACCAATGTCAAGGTCTATCGACAACTCACATTAGTTCTTTGTAAAGGGTACATTATATTCTACTGTAGTGAGGGTTTAGTGTAATATGTGCGCATGTGTGAATAGACAGCTGTATGTGTGCAGTGTATAAATATGTATATATATGGCAGATATTTTAAGCATATATATGAACCAGTGTGTGCATAAAATTGGGTGTCTACAGAAAAGTTCTCGGCCAGACCAAGAACAAATTACAAAAATGTAGGTAATGAGATGTTTTCTTTCCCATCCATTTATATATATATTGGAATACTTTCAGGCTTTGCCACATCTAAGCTACGCTTAGAAAATCACAATATATATATATATATATATATATATATATATATATATATATATATATATATATATATATATATATACATTATACTACATATATGTTTATGTATATGTATGTGTGTGGGCAGTTGAATGCGATTCCGGCGGAATGGTAAATACATAAATTAATTTTGAAAAATTTCTACTTTGCCGATGGTCGGCGTCATCAGAAACAGATGATGACCAGAGCATTGGTGAAACATGTCATAGAAGAACATTTTTAAAATTATATTATATATATATATATATATATATATATATATATATATATATATATATATATATTTATTTATTTCCACTACTTGTCTCCCTCCTCCTTTTCCTCGCCTTCTACCAAACTTCAGGTCGTGCGCTTATTTACTTTTTTTTTTTTTTTTTTTTAAAATATAGCGTTCATAAATTTTTACTTTTTTAGAAAATAAAGCGTTAGGAAATCAACTGACCGAAATCGCATGAAGATACCGGAAGTTTGAAACCAAGGTAGCGGAATCGACTGATTTCCTAATTTTCTGTACTTAAAAGCTCTACGTGTTAAACTTTTATATTTTTATATATGTATTGAGCACTATTTTAATACTACTGCTTCATGGTCCAATTCACCTCTGATCATTAACTTTATTATTATTATTATTATTATTATATATATATATATATATATATATATATATATATATATATATATATATATAGTGTATGTATAATTTTGCATGTGCAAAAGTATGAATTTTAAATGGATTTTTTTAAAGCCGACATTAAACGTTATTTTTAGTGGTTACACGTGTTTGAGTTGCTTACCCTGTTTTATTTTTGTTGCTAACTTGTTTTAAACAGTGAAATCGAATTAGACACAATTTTTCTTTAGTAGGACTTCTAGATCTAGACCGCTTGTTATTAATTTCACTGTTTAAACAAAAAAAGAAGAAACAGAAAAACAGAGCCACTCAAACGAGTGTATACACTAAAATAACGTTTATACTTTACAGTAATAAGAAACAAGTATGTATGTAAATCCTTTGTATAGCTAGTATACAAATATATTAGTATATGTATAAATATATACTAACGCATATAAATAAATAAAAATGTTTATAAATTTACATATGCTTTTACGGATGTGGACAGGTTTAGATAAAGTTAGTTTTGCAGTCGTTGCTGTTTTTAGAGAATAAATCTCTCAAAACTTTCTCTTTATTATTCAGGGAAAAAAACAACTTCACTGGATCTTAAATATAAATAATTAATGTCTAAAATAATTATATGTAGAACTTTTTATGGTTTATCGACCCTTTGCATGTTATTTAAAGCCAGAAAAAGTTTTTAGATTGTAAGAATTTTTTTGAGATAATAATGATTTAGTAATACAAGTCTTACTAATTAACCCATAGCTGGGGGAGAAGAGGTGGATTCATACTTTTACTAAAGGTATTTGCGCATAAGCGAATCTAACGAACCCAAATGGTATTGGAACTCGGCTCTCCGATAAACATTTCCGAGCCATTATCCATTACACCACCCGCACATTCAAACTTACAGCATTTGGTATTCCGAAGCGGTCACCCATCTTGGTACTAACAAAGCTCGACTTTGCTTAACTTCGATGATCGTACGGTGTTCCAATGTGATATAGCCGTAAGCACTAAGGACAATCCAAAGAACACTTACATTTAGAATTAGAAAAAGAGAGGCGAAATTTCTAGGGTACATAATGATGAAAGAAGACTTAGAAAAATTGACATTCACGAGTCATATTGAGGAACAAGAGGAACAGAGGAAAGCAGCGAATAACCTACCAAATGATTTTGTGTATATGGTCGGCAGAACAGGCATTAAAAGAGTTAGTTTAAAAGACAAACATTGCTAAGAGTTATAAAAAAAGGACAGGAATTGTGTAAAACAAAAAAAACATGATCGCTTACGTCATGAAGGGACACGGTACATAGAAGACGCTATATATTCAATAGTTGATCTCATTCAGGAAAAAAATCTGTTCGCCTTGAAATACATTAATTTATAGTAATTTCTACGTATTTTTATTTCTTCTCCTCCTCCTCCCCACTGTGACATGCACAATCAAATTGCACAGCTCTCCCAGGGGCATTAACACATGCAAATCATATATATATATATATATATATATATATATATATATATATATATATATATATATATATATATATACAGGCACACAATACATGAAATAAACACAGACAGCATTGAATGAATAAAAGTAATGACGTTTAAAATACATTTAAAATTTTCACCATTTTGGCAGTGTTCATTTAACACAGGGTCCAATGATGAAAGCTCTCCTTTAAGCGTTTGTCTTAGAACTAATAGATCTAAAACTTAAACAGATCAAACAATTGGTACCCGTAATGCGTGCTGTCTTTTATTATGCTTTGTGCTCTTCTGTGACAGAGAGAATTAAAAATGTCCTCCAAGGAGGGCAGCAAGCAGCCGATTACTTTTTTGATAGATGTTATTGATTATTATTATTATTATTATTATTATTATTATTTCCTTTGATTTCTGGCGTTTACACATTTCTTTCCCTGTCCCGCACATGGACATAAGGTTAGAAATGGTTGTTGTTGTTGTTGTTGTTGTTATTGTTGTTGCTGTTTCTATAGATAGATAGATAGAGAGAGAGAGAGAGAGAGAGAGGGGGGATAAGATTAAATTATAATATCAAGAATAAGAAAGAGAAAAAACTCAGTATATTTTCAAAAATAAATTTCTGCCATGAGGAGTTATTATTATTTATATTATTTACATGCGGACTATTATCGTCATCTTTGTTGCTGCTATCACGACTTTTCGAACGTTGTGCCCTTCGTCCTTCATCAAGTGTATGTCGATCTGGGTAACCTACAGGGATCGACATACATCTGATTGAAGGCCGGTTGCGCTAACTACAAAGAGGAGGAAAATAATCTGCATGTAAATTATGTAAATAAAAATGTACCCAGACAGAAAAAAAGCTTATTCAGTAAAGCTGTCCTCAGCCGTGATATGCACTCAGTAACGACTGCATTCCCAGGCAAGGTGGTTATCTTGTTACCCATAACGTTCAAAGTGACGACCTTTGGGACTGCAGGAAGTTGGGTTGGTATTCATCTCGATGACGCGTCAGACATTGTAGTCCAAAGAATTAAATTCAGGAAAGCTTAATTCTGAAAGTGAGAATTCACCTTGGCTGGGAGCAGAGTCCTGTTGGAATACTTACGATTATCCACACGATTCAAGGTTTGCCCAGTGTCTACAACTCGATATAGATGGTGATAATGACTCTGAGGAACAGTGTGGTGTGCCATTGTTACTTACAACCCCCACAAACATTACAGAAGATGTGATCATGGTGTGCATCACTGTTTGTACATCTGTGGGGTCGATTTTCTCATTTTCGTTATTTTTATGCTAAATTTGATGTAGTTAATTTATATGCTAATTGGAATGCTATTATTACTCTGGTTAGGTTGATGTTTTTTTTCTTTTCTTTATGTGCATGTGTGCGCGTGCGCGTGTATGTGTGAATGTGGCAAATGCCATGGTTATGTACATTCTGTTCCTCACCGCTAGGTGAAACTTTGAGTTTCATGCACGTGGCAATAGTTACGCATGGACATTTTACACTTGTAATCACTATAGATGTAACCATAAGTTTTATGATAACAGTTTCGTCTATCGCATTTCTCACTTATGGAACTCTTTTCCAGCTTCCAGTTTCCCATTCAACTTTGATCTTCAAAAATTTAAATGTAAATCGTTATCTTCTGTCTTAATTCTTTATAATTATTGTTCTTTTATTATTCTCACTCCTTAATAGTATTTTTCTTTTTTTTCATATACTCTCTAACACTCAGTAACCTCTTGCGGCTTAGTGGCTTTATTGCCTTGCTTGGGGTGAAATTATATATATATATATATATATATATATATAGAGAGAGAGAGAGAGAGATAGATAGATAGATAGATAGATAGATAGATAGATAGATAGATAGATAGATAGATGTACACGAGGTGTGCTGAGGTGTAAGGCCTTGGCTAGAACCACTTTGCTAAATCTGCCTAAATGACTAAATATATGAGATTTCTTTGAGAAATGTCTTCTTGGTTGTACTTTTCAGTACTTCCACGTATGTGTGTATGGAGGTGTATACCAGATAGTCATGAAAACTACCTTCAATAAAAAGCTCTTTTATGACAATAACACTTATCTAATTCTTAACCACTTAAAATTCTTTTTTTATCTTGATCTGCTATGCACAGTATACTTATTTGTGGCCTTGTGTAAAAATAAAGCCAAGCTTAATAAAAATCAATTCCGCTAATGTATCTCTGATTAAAATACAATCAACTCTAAATGACAGTTTTCATTTTTCCTTAACTACCAGGATTTTAGGTAATATATAGAATCATTTAGATGAGTGAAATTCTTGCTATATCTGTTTCATAAATCCTTCTCGTTATATCAAGTGCTGCATCTATTAATAACACTTTGAAGGCCAATCAAAACAAATTTCTAAAAAAAAAAACTATGTTTATTCTAACAAGATCAGTAGAAAAAGTAATGTTTTACTTGATGTGTAATTTCTCTTGAAACCGGTATCTACTTGACTCGGTTCAAACTGGCACGAGACAATGTGCTTTGGAAGAGGGACAAGGCCAGAATATGACTGACGTACCTTCCATGAAATTCGGTATTCGAGCTGTTACCTGTTGGCTCTGGGAGATTTGATACTAACGTGTCCACTAAGAAACGCGAATAAAAAGTAAATGCTTTTTATTATTGTTTTTTTTTTTAATTTGAAAAAAAAAAAAAACTTAAAGAGTTTGTCTATATTTCTGAGATGAAGTATTATGTACAGTATTTACATTAGTCGGACTATTGTCCTCATCTTTGTCGCCATATTTGTCACAACGTTTCGGCCGTTGTACGCTCCGGCCTTCTTCAGGTGGTTGGAATTTCGAACTGAACCCTTTATTTCGATCACTGGGGTAGACTGTTCTAGTTTCACGTACCATGTTTGATGGATGTCAGTTATCAGTTATCTCCTGCTAAATTTCCCTCTGAAAGTTCTCCACTATTGAACTCACACTCTTTGTGTCCTGTCATTGGATCTAACTAACGCCTTTATCCACTGTGCCATGTGTCCTTGAAAACATCTGTGTATGAATTTCTGGGTATTATAAACCTTCAGCATCATTTTTTACCAGTGCTCATATTGAAATTTTTGCTGTCATTTCTATGCTTGGTCGGCCCAGGAAATTTTTGTGGCCTAGCATATGTGCTGATTCCTTAAGTTTACGAATTTGTCTATGTAAATAGTCTTCCTAAATACATACATTTTTTGCAGATATACCTTAGAGTGCTGATGGTAAGTTATTCATAGTCACAATTGATACAATAAATAGACTTCTACTTACCGTGGTAAAATTTAAAACTGCATTGTTTTCACATTTTTACAAAGTTTTTGAAATCTAAAGGTGTGTGCTGCTTTTCTGTAGCGGTATCTTTGAACGGTGTCATTTTTAAATGTTCGGAGAAATGGACATGTTCGACGCAGAGAAAATACATCCATTTAATAAATACGATCCATCTCGGATAAGGAAGTAGAAACATATTGACTTAGAGAAGTTATGTTATTTCAGTTCTTAGAGAATCTTTTAGGGTGGTGTAATGTGGAGAGGCTACGAACGAGAAACTGGCGAGCCAATTTCGACTTCCGGTTGAAAACGTTACATTCACTTTAGAGCAAATACTCTTTGGGAAAGGTATGAATCCACTTCTTCTACCCCAGCTATAGGTTAAAGAGAATGATTGACTGGACACCCTAGCTTCTGAATTCACGTAGCCCTGGTGGGGACATTTTTTAACTTTGAGTAATATCCGCTCAGTATAAAAAACTTGTTGACTATGTAGGTGTTGAAAATAGGTTTGAGCAAATGAATATACCCAGAAATGAGCTAAAGATGAAAAATCGCACTGATCTGCAGTATGCCTTCAAGTCGAGCCGAGTCTGAGTTTTTTCTATGCCAAGAATTTGAATTGAATTGACTGACCACAACCTGTTGCAAAATCTTGTATTTAACTCTTTTCAAGAGTTACAAATTCCGTGTTTTTTTTTTAATTTACTCGAACCAACAGCGAGTGGTTAAAAATTCACTCTATACCACGCGATCTGTTTCTGCTACGTCTTCGCATTTTTAATCTTATTTTGGTCGACTTTTTCTTGAATCCTGCTGTTTAAGTGAATCCTAATTTGTGCTGCTTTTTGACATGCCTCTTAAAGGCTTTACATAGCAAATATTTTAATTATTTAAATGTTGAATATTAACGCAACCTATTGAACCCACGCAAACCGCAAAATTCGACCAGTGCTAATATGACACAATATGTTACCATAATTGTTAATCCCATTTCTCTCATAGAAACTGATGTTTGTTTCCCTGTAAAATAGTACACTACGTTTCTCTGTTTTGTTTCTGTAGACAAGAAAAAAATGAGCATGACGTCATTAGCCAAAAGCGGTTTCAGCTCAACTGCAACAACCAATCCCTTATGATTGCTCCTACTTTAAATATATCACCAGCGTCGTCGAGAGATATTGCGTCAAGGGACAAGTTAATAGGGGGGGAAAACGAAGACAATCCCTTTAATCTTATTTATTTTTTATCCGTATTACATGCATTGCAAGTCGGCGATTTTGTTTTATCTTAATGTGATGCGTGCACATGGCTAATAAATTATCATGGGTATTTCTTCTTTTTTCAACAATTTAGTGAGGTAGACGACAAGAAAAGAACATGGCTGATTAACATAATGTCCAACGGACATTAAAAACTATATTTGCTATGGTAATTTTATTAAAAAAAAAAAATCATGCAATTAAAAATTTGACGTTCTTATTATGAATTACGACAGTTTGAAATACAACGTATCTAAAGCGGCGTTTTTCAATCTATGCGACCTGAAAGGTAGCCAGGTGCGCCCCAATTTAGCAGGAGAGTAATTTATGAATTATTTTTATATTAAAAAAAAAAACAACAAAAAAACACCACCGCCACATTATTTTTAAAACGCTAGAAACACCAAGCAATGTAATGTCTTAAAAAATAGATGCTTATTTCAGGAGACTTCTTTAGAATTTTCCTATTTTCAAATTTCAGGACTTATTTTTTCTTATTAAAATTTAAAGTGTGCCTCAGAGTTTTAGTTATTCGACAAGTGCGCCCTGAAGTGAAAAAGGTTGAGAAACACTGATAAAAAATTATCCGCATGGAATTACATCGAAACAATGTTTTATATATATATATATATATATATATAAAAGATACCAGTGTAACCCGGATATAAGAGACCCTGATATAAGAGAAACCCGGATATAAGAGAGATTTTCTCTGGTCCCAAATTAGAGCCTGTGTTACCTAAACAAAATAGACCAAACCCGGATATAAGAGAAACTCTGCTATAAGAGACTTCTTCTCCGGTCCCGACAACTCTCTTACATCCGGGTTACACTGTATTAAAGATTCCTAATAGAAAAAAAAGCATTGCAGCAGAAATAAATTTAATTTAGACCTTAAAGCGGGGAATTATTTCAATGTTCCTAACTGAAACATGAAGTAATGCGCCTTGCAATTTTTATGAACAATAATGAATAAAGGATATTGAAAGAATTTTCCAATGCAGTGTTTTCTTATGAAATTAATATTCTGCTGTTGGGTTTGTTGTTTGTGTTTTTTGTTTGTTTTTTTAATATAGCATACAGTGTAACCCGGATATAAGAGAAACCCGGATATAAGAGACTTCTTCTCCGGTCCCGACAACTCTCTTATATCCGGGTTACACTGTAGTTAAATTTCGTAAACGGCGTCTTCATATCTTTGTTATTTTACCAAAACTGACCAATGTTATTTTTTTTTTAATGAAGTTATTTTTTAGAAAATGTTAAGTGCTAGAAATAAATGTTATAAATGTTACAAAAAAACGCTTTTGCAACTTCATTTTTTCATGACATTCTCAGACGTTTTAAAATTACAAAAAAAAAAACCAAAAAAAAAAACATTTGAACCTCAAAAAATATTTAAAATAAAAACAATATTCTTACGCGGAGTGGTGGAGGGCTCGGTATTGAGCCATTGCCAGTGAATTAGTTTTGCAAACTATAACTAATGCAATGAATTTGATCTTCGTTGGTCTCTTAGACTCGTACGTACGGGTGTAGTGTGTGTGCTGGCATTAGGTCACCAATCTGTAACAGCGTTGTCTCATCACTGGCATACAGTGTTAGAAGACGATACATGTAATGGGTTTTAGTGGAGTTATTAGTTGCATTAAGCTTTTTTGAAGAGAGATGGCGTATGGGATACGCGGTTCAACTGGGAATTAAGAAATCTTCCGGGGTGGGAGACAAGACCGGTCTTATCACTACGACATCCTGAGGTTAAGAAGGTTTGCACCCTTTCCTTTTATACCGTTTTTTAACAACGTCACCTAGCGGGAATTAGAAAATTTTTCCTGGCAGATAGATAAATACATGCATACATCCTAGTGTTTACATTATTTACAGTAAAAAAAAAAAATTCAAGCACGAAGAAAAGACAGCGTGCAAATATTGTCAAGTGAGAATACATTAATTTATAAGTATTTCCATTTTGCCAGTTGTCCACTTCGAAACTTGGAAGGCACTCCATCTTGGTGTTCACTGCTGTTAAATCCCAAATAACCATTATAAGCCGTCACGCATTATTTAGAATTAACCTGAGCGCCATCAAGTCATCAGTTTTATCATGCAAAGGAATTACTCAGCCTGGTCCTCTTAAATTCCAATGGGTCATGGAAAAAGTTTTAATTACTTTGATATTATGGTGAAAATAAATAAATTAAGTCTTTCATTTCCCACGACTGCTCTTAAACTGCCATTCCAACATTTGCTATTTTCTCGCTTATAAACAGTGAGTAAATTTGAAAACAGTTTGTCTACTTTGTGCAAATACCATATGACAGATATGAATCCAGTTC